CATAACTACATAAATACTACATAATATACATACATACATAATAACATACAGTTACATACATTAATACATACATACATTACATCATACATTAATACATACATAGCATAACATAGCATACATTACATTACATACTACTAGCATACATAACTACATACATATCATTACATATCATACATACATACATACATACATACATACATACATTAAATACATATCATAGCATACCATACATACATACTATAATTACATACATACATACATAACATAATATACATAACATAATACATACATAACATACTACATACATACATACATACCATACTACATACATACCATACTACATACATACATACATACATACATACATACATACATACATATACATACTTACATACATCCACCCCCATCATATCCCCCCATTCACCTAACCATCTACCCATCATCAAGAGTAGATAATAACACAGATAACAATGTGTTATTATCTACTCTTGCCATCATCCATTCACCGCACCAGCAACCCCGTTGTCTATGTACCCCGACTGCCGTCGCTACTCTGCACTCTCTGTTGATCAGTGGCTTATCCAGAAAGCTCGGGGCTTTTTTATCGCAATGTTTGCCGTCAGTGGCTGATCCTTTACCGACCTGCGCTCCACACTCCCCTCTCTCTCGGAACATTGACAAAAGCAAACACGCTCATTATTCGCTAGGTGTTTTTATAGGAAAGCTGAAGTGTCATAAGATAAATGTTGAAGCATACAGGATAATTACCTGCACTGAGCATATTGTGCGTGTCACCGCTGCAACCAAAGAATGTGAGCAACACACGCGGTAACAACCAGGTGCAAGTAACCGATCGAAATCCGTGTACAGGCAATTGGCAAGTATCATGAATAAATTCATACTATAATATTATTTTATACTTTAGAGTCTAGACTTTCGTCGCGCATATCACATATCACAGGTCATATATATATATATATATATATATATATAATAGACATATGGCATCAAAAACATAGTATAGATAGATATAACATAGCCTATCTATATGTGATAGAAAATGCAAGCGCTGAGATGTGACAACTGAGCTGAGATGTTCGACTGAACAAGAATATATATTTTGTATAACATGACTGTGAAAATAACTACATTATAATTGGTACAGAGCATGTCACATGTTATGAAGTAATGGCTGACATTAGCTGTGGAAAAATCAACATTTAAATGAAATGGCCGTCACGATGTGTGGCAAAAGAAGGTTTGAGCAAATGGACGAGTATTATATCCTTAAATGTGTTTATAATCGATTTTCTACAGACTTCTATAATTCTTAACAATATTACAAGGATAATCGGGTGTTACTATTACTGAATTTCACCTCCACTGCTTGAAGTGCTATTTTTTAGTTAAGGTTAGGGTTAGTTGAAATATCTTCAGGTGCGTTATATGTTGATAAATAGTATTGTTTAGTAGCATCTTGCAGACAAATAAATTTACATGTCTTCGCGTAAGCTTCAGGCGAGTCGGTTACTGGTGAAAGCTGGGAGTGTGTCAATGGTGATGCTGATGGCGTTGACGTCTGAGACAGAGAGATCGGGCTAACATTCATTGTCGAGGCCCAAAAAACCCCCACGTGTCCCTGTCAAACGTGCAATAAGCGCATTATATAATATATACAGTTTAGACAAATAATTTGTTGTAAATCACACCATAATACGTGTATTAAATTATCATGGTCTATAAACTGCCGGGCGAGAGCTATAGTCCAGGCGTTGGACTAAGCTAACCGATTAGGGAGGTCGCTAATAATAAAGTGCAATTTCTCGTAAGAAGTATTCGAGTGGCGCTGATTAAATTCTGCTTGTTCATTTTTTTAAATAAAATTATATCCATTAAAAATATTGCTGGTATCAAAAATAATAAGATGGATCCGAACCTACGCTGAGGCCTAGACCTAAATGCCCTTCTGTTACCAAGGTTCATGGTTCATGCAGGATGATATAGCTATCGGTAAAGTTGTCCGGTCATTTCAATTAAAATAATGATAAATTATACATGAACCAATAACTTAGATTCCAGCACGTTCACAAGCATCGCACATTATGCGGATTGTGTTCCATAACTGAACAAATAACAGTGTTATTACAGTTATCTGCACAGCATACTGCTGACCAATCGATTGCACACAACTGAGATTTCGGATAACCTACCCGAGGATAACCCACCCGAGGATAACTCACCCTAGGATAACCTACCATAGGATAACCCATCCTAGGATAACCTACCATAGGATAATTACCTACCATAGGATAACCTACCATAGGATAACCCACCCTAGGATAACCTACCCTCGGATAACCCACCCTAGGATAACCCACCAGCTAGGATAACCTACCCTAGGATAACCCACCGCAGGACAATCCACCCTATAGGACAATCCACCTTACAAGACAACCCACTCTAGGACAACCCCATAACTAACCTCTCCTAGGACAAACACCCTGGCAAAACGTCTTTAGTAACAGTGGAGAACAGAACAACCCTTCCCCCTGCGCCTTTCTATTTCTTATATTTTTCTATGTTGGAATATCCTAGGTAATCACTGTTTTGCCCGCGGCGGAGAATTTCAGTGCGTGTTATAATCTCCATTGATGTTGACATCAAAGGTGTCAACGCAGGACGTGGGCGAGGCCCAGTACCCCTACAATTTTTTGCCTTGTAGTTTTTCTCTTCCTCTCGTAAAATAGTAGAGCCGTCCTGTACCAACATCAAAAATGCAGGCCACAATCGCCATTAAAATCATGACGTCGTCATCATTGATCTATCGTTATCATTTATCCTGTGGGTGGCCTAGTGGGGGGAGGGGTTGTCTAAAGAGGATTTATCCCAGGGAGTTATGTCCCAAGGCGGGGTTCTCTCAGAGGTTTTCCCTACACCCCACACAACTATAGCTTTAAGCAGCAAACGATCGCATATGTAATATCACACTACGCGCCATGCGAGAGGTCGACTGACTGCCGACTCGATGACACATTAAATCGCAAATGTGACGTAAGCGCCACAATATGGCCGGCCAGCGACAATGATTTAATCTTGCAGCCGAATATTCGCGCATAGCATCACGTCGATGTATAAATACACGATAATTTATTGTAATGGCTGGTTAATTTGATTTTTATTCATTAGTTTGTTGTTATAGGCGATTTGCGCGGACTTTGGCATTAAACGTAAACTGTTATTTTGTTGGCAAGCATAAATAAAACACTTGAGCATTCAAAGAACGTTAATGTGTTTTAGGTAGGGCTATATTTAGTCTACGCGTGAATGGTGCTTCGTGCGGTACGTTAATCACTGTAAACTATAAGCTAGCTACCATCTATAACGGCGTTAGTGTCACACCTTGGATAAAATAGGCGGAGCGACGCCTGCGCGTACGTGCTTTATCTTAATTATCGCATGCGGTATTTGTTATAAGTATCGTATCACCATAGCGATAAATCCTAGACTATTATGGACATGCATTCACATTCGCACTTAAATTCCGAATTCTTGTCGAGTTCAATCGATCGACTAGTTATGACAGGTTTGGCCGATCCTATTTCAATTTTACCACCGGCGCATATGTGATAATACATAATATTATATATGTGACCACACACGAACTCATTCGCGCACGCACGCACGCACGCGCGCACGCACGCACGCACGCACGCACGCACGCACGCACGCACGCACGCACGCACGCACGCACGCACGCACGCACGCACACACACACAACACACACACACACACACACACACACACACACATATATATATATATAATGATATATATATAATGGTGTTGAAGCAGAGAGCCGTGCCGGATTGTCTCGAGGTGTGACGAACTCAAACCTTATCGCGTCAACTTTCACTTGCGAAAAAAATGTTGATTCTAGACATCTCATACTACACAGATATTACGATTCATATCTAATAGGGCATGGAAAGTGCTTGTATGTAAGATATTCATGCTCTCGACGTTGGACCCGAAAGATATATGTGACGTAACCTGTAATCGGTGATACGAAAAGCCAATCCAGCGCCCCCATGAAAGAGAAAACTCCAGTGCAGCGGAACGCCACCCCGAGTGTACGAGCACGTACATGCGATGGCGCGCCGAGTCTTTCCATGCAAAAACCCTCCTTACAAAACGAGCAGTGGCTTTTCAGGCGGCCGACAGTGCGGCTGGGTAATGCGGCTCCACGGCGTGCGGCAGCGGTGAGAAATGACTCAATGGACGTGCAGGGGAAGGTAACCGGCGCAAGAGAGCAACAAATCTGTCAGCTCTGCCTTCCCCAAGGCAGACACCGGAATAATTCGAGGCAAGCGGTTTGTTTGGTGAAAAACGATAATGGTTCGCCGTGCCGTAATGAGAAAATAAAGGCCCCGCTCTTGTTGGTGGGGCAGTAAAAGCACCGAGAGCCTTTGCCGTCCAATTACCGCAAAAGAAGCACATACTTAGAGACAAAACGCTTCAGCCCTTGCGGACATAGGTGGAGCACAAAGGTGGCGGAGCCCCCGTTGACGTGTTTGTACACTAACAAAGAGCGCAAACACAGACGACTGCCGGATTAGCCTGACAAGGCGGATTAGCAAGCCGAGTAGTGGGTGAGTGTGCGCTCGCTGGCAAGAGATAATCAGAGCGAAAACAATCCGAACCCGCTTGACGGCAGAGATAGCGGCGGGAAGGTATCTCATCGACGCGTTATACCTATCGACGTCGACGCGTGCGTATTGATCCACGTCGACGCGACCGTAGATTCTCTCCGAACGTCGCCGCAGAGACAACAGGTGTTCGTGCGTCGACGACAACGACGACGACAGCGGCGGAGGAGAAGGCGGCACTCGGGATAATCCGCCATGACGGACAGCGATTCCCTCAATCACGCAGCGCGGATCGCCCGAGGGTCGGCTGCCATTATACGACTAATTTACTTACAAGGGATTAGCCCAATCATGCGCGGAAACTGACAAGTAGTTAAGAAGCGCTTGCGTTAGCAGCAGAGCCCGTATTCAACCGATTGCGTGGAGACGTCCAAGCGAGCCGCTACTGCATGCGAATTCACAGCAGCATATAGGTCGCGTATATATCCAGATTCTCATAGTTAGAGACAGTGTTTGTAGACACAGCACACGCGTGCACGGGCCAGAATTTACGTGCCAGGAGTTTACGCCAGCGACTGCGGACAACGACGAAATAAGTTACATTCAACGCGAAAGATTTTCACGTGCGTTCGAAAGAGTTTTTGATGTCGCGGAATCTCGTCTGAGGAAAATCGCCAGAGATTCGTGTGGTGTCATATATGATATAGCTTTAGACGAAAGCTATCCGGGAATATATTTATGTATCGTCAAACTCTTAACTAAATGTGAAATTGCTGGCATCGGAAGTAAAGGCGTCTAATCGGAATCTCGAATTCTGAACAAACAACAGCATCAACAACAGCTATTGTGACAGGAACAACAGCAGCAACAACAACAACAGCAGCAACGACGACGACGACACTAACGACATCTGTAATGATCAAATTTAATAAAAAGCGTGAAAAATTCATTTTGCAAACGTGAGCGAACTTTCGCATAGTTTCGTTGTGCCGCAATATACGAGCGCCCGGGAATCTACATACAACACTGGCGTGGGAGAAGTTGTCTAACAGCGCGCCGTTGCCAGCTCTCTGCACAGAGGAGCGTGTGTTTATAATAACACCATCAGTCACCGGCAGCGAGACAAGGAGCAAATACGCAAATACACCTTTACCGTGAGCGAGCGACATCGACCGCGAGCGAAGCGCCACTGCGCCGGGGGAACAACCCCCTCTAACGAGCTCGCTGCTACTGACGGCCGGCCGGAAACCACAGCGTTGCGTTACGCCGCTGCGGCGATTCCTGCCGAACGCCGTCGCGTCGCAGCCACAGTCCCGCGAACGCGAAAAGCGGGTCAACATGTGAGAGCGAGCCAGCGGCAGAGAGAGACCCGCGTGTGAACAAACCCAAGCTTCGATACGCGCGTGACCGAGTAAATTTCGGTTCTCGCGGCTGAGCGTACGTGATACGTGGCGGAAGCTATCACTGCCAGGGCGGAGCGTGAATTCTCAAGCTCGATAATCCCCACGTCGATTCAAGATTTGTTAGCGGTGAGATCGGCGGAAGACGTCAGTGTGATCTACGATACTCGGACGAATTTTTGCTGATTTATATTGCACCCGCCAAGTGCAAACATCAGAGAGAAACACCGTGTTTTGCCTTCCTCTGAGACGTGCGCCCGTAAAGCTGCCTAGACGTTCGTCCCCAGTTGTTTCCTTCTACTCGGGCTCTAACCAGTAATTCGAAAAAATAAAGCATGGCTGCCATCCGTGCACGCTGGATAACATCGGTGATTCTGCTCTCTGTATTCTGCCACACAGGACTGTCCAGTTACTGGTGGTAAGTAGTGCATTTCAGTGTAGATTTTCGCATTTATATTTCAAACACGCCGGTATATATATATATATATATATCGAAGTTTCAAAACAAATGTTTAATAATACCTAATGACCTATATACAATTAGCTAAATATTTATTAATTAATAGGTATTATTTCGTACCTTATATTTTTATAAATAGAATTATTTTGTTATAATATCCAGATGATATTACACAGTACTCGACAACGCCTGTATTCATTGCGCTCTATATTTTATAATCCATTGTATTCATAACGTATTCATGTAGTTTCAAAACACATTCCTGATATCTAATTACAAAAAAACACATTAATAATAATAGTTATCAGTAGTGTTCATAAAAAATATTATATCATTTATGCGATTTCAAATTAATAATAATTTATACTAGATACTGTACTGCGATTCAATGATCCTACTAGTACTAAGTATATGCTGTTTATATTACCTTGTCTTTTTAAACACGCGCGTACGCACGCGCGCTTCACACGCACAGACACAGACACAGATACAGACAGGCACACACACACACGACACACACACACACCACACACACAACACACACACACACACACACCAGCACACACACAGCGCGCAGCACACACACACAGACCACCACACACACAACAACAACACACACACACACAACACACACAACACACACACACACACACACCACACCACACACACCACACACACCACTTCAAGCACAGCATATATAATATATATATATATACTATATAATGAACAAGCAGGTGAACATTTCAGTGTAAAGCGGAACGAAGTTGACATCGCCATATTTGTCATAGGAAGATGACAATGTGTCATACGGAGAGCGTATATGCGTATGTCGTATTTTGTCATAAATGCAAGCCAAAGAACATGCTTGCAGCCACGCACACACACACACCACACGCACACGCAACACTGCACACGCACACGCACACGCACACGCGCACGCGCACACGCGCGCGCACACACCACATCGGCACACACACACATACACACACCATTGAACAGCACCAGCGCTACACACACACACATCACACACACCACACACACACAGGCGCGCACACACCAAGAACACACACACACACACACACACACACACACACACACACACACACACACACACACACACACATTGTGGCTATAATTATTGTTAATACAATTTTGGTTGTAATAAAACAATAATTCATGAAAATCATCATGACAAAATTGCTAAACACTATGGAATACATAAATATGTAATCGCAAGATAATCATTTAACACAATATATATATATATATAGAAAACTAGAGAGAGAGGGGGGATAGAAAGAGGGGGAGAGCGCGTGACAGTTGTGCTACAATTTTCCAATTTAGTTTTTAATTTTTAATGTATTAATTTAATGGTAATTAATTAGTATTACCGTGTGATAGTTGAGGTGCTGTATATCAGGAACTGTAATATTTAAGCTGGGGCGATAGCAGTGTTTACTACGTCATGACATAGCCGTGTTCATAGGTTCACGGGGCCCCTAATCTCTGATTAGCCGTGCACGCAGTATTTTGGTAAATATCAGCGAGTATACGCCGCGCTATCGGCGCGCCAACACAACGAGGTGTACCTTACAAACAGATAGGCACTTCATCAAAGCCAAGATCAAGCACCTTTGCAAACTTCGGCTAACTTTTATTTGCGCGGCCGCGTCTGCTGTACCTGGTTTTGCGTGTCGGTTCGTTGATGTACCGGTGTATAGCGGCTGCCCCCGCGGGGTGCAATTAATGCCTGCTCCCGCGCAATTGGATGGTTTTCATCACGGCGAGGTAAACGATACCTATGAGCACAGAGCGGCAGGGCGGTGGTCACGCACTCTTTTGCACGTAGGCGGACTTTCTATGTTGCGCGTAGTATTTTTTATGCTACGCCGACTTCATTATATTACCTCATCTTTCTTATTGAAACGCCAACTGCATTATCATTCTTGTGCTACATGGGTTATGGTGTCTTTCCAAGCTGCATCGATTTTCTCGTGATAAGCAGTATTTCCCCCGCTTTTGCGCTACTTTTGCTTTCTTGCGCAACGCAGTCTTTTTTGTTAACACGATAACCTTGTGCTATCCGGCCTTTTTGTGCTGCGCAGTATTTCTCTATTGTGCTATTGGGTATTTCTTATCGTACTCCGCTGTTCCTGGAATATACAGTATTTCATACGCCATCCCGGCTTTACTGCGCCATGTAGGCCTACCCATGCTACCCCTTAGTCTTTAAGTGCTATGCAGTATTCCTTATGCTACCCCATCTTTATTGCGGTATGCATTATTAATTATTATGCCCGGCACTTCTTGTGCAATGCGGTATTCCTTATGGTGCCACATATTTATTGTGCCATGCACTTCAATATTTCACTTAAATATTTCACTTATGCATTATATCACGCACTCCTTGTGCTACGCAGTATTTCTTTTATCACCAAACTTTACCGTGAACATCGATGAACACACGTTCAGCTTCTTTCATTCATAATCTAAACCATCGCGTTGATATTTATGGGCTCCATCTATGCTGCTTGTTAGACATGCAAGAGGGGGTTTGCCTGCCGTAGGTTGGCGTATGACAAAGCACCATACATTTAGAATATGTATTCCCATTAATCACCACGTGATTCATGTATATATATATATTTATATATATATATATATATATATATATATGTGTGTGTGTGTGTGTGTGTTGAGAGAGAGAGAGAGAGACAAACATTTAATATACGTATACAAATATCCAGACAAATTAATAATGTGTATTTAAAATAAATTATACATTTGCATTTGGTGAAAAGTTAATATCGGTTATTTATTTATTTATTTATTTATCATTAGCATAGTTATTTGTTTTATTTGCTCATTGTTAGTTAGTTTGTTTATTTATTTCTTAAACGCGATATTGTTACGAAAGATGTTGCAGATGTTAAAATATTGAATTATAAAAAACTATAATTTTCATTTTGTCGTTATAATTACCATAATAAGTAATCGGTAATTGCGTAATAAATAATTAATCAGAGGTTACTTAAACATGTGTATAAATTAATAACATAATTATAACTAATAATATAACTATAATAATAAATCAATCTAATTATATAGCTATATATACACTACATATATAAAATTATTGCGAAACGAATTTAAGTATATTAATTAGAATTTTAAATACATACAGCTGGTAGGTTCCGCCCACTCCCTCCGTATTTAGTACACGTAACTATTCGACCACCCACATGGGATCCACACGACGACTGTACATATAGTAGTCATATACTAGTAGATATATATATAGCCCAGAGCTTCCCTGATCCGCCTAGATACCTTTCTCTCGCTACGTCAACTTGTTCTCTACCTCGACCCGTTTCAGCTGGGACGTCATAACTCAGACTCTAAATGGCTCCGTCCTAGTCACAGCCGTCTTCCAGACTTCACGTTATAATGCAGCACGCTGAGAAAAAAAAACTACTTAAAAAGGCATGACAGTCACGATCGGCTGCAGGGTCGGAGCAACAGAGCTATTTATGCTCGCAATTTGTTTTCCTGGTCATTTACAACTGCTAAAATTGCGGCTGGAAATGAACGGTTTGCGTCACCGGGTGATTGTAGGCGGATGGCGGTGACCCGCTTCGATGACATGTTTATGGTGCGTCGCCGGCTGTAGCTCAGCGCACGTTTATCAGGCGACACAGCGTTGCGCTGGGTTCCTCCCTCCGTGTCGCGCACTCTATCCGTCTCCTCCCTTCCTACCTCACTCATCTCCTCCGTTCATTAATCATGACAATTTTCTCTCGTTCTCTCTTTTTTTCTTTCGCCCCTGCCCACTATTAAGCCTTCCCATTCATCCCGCGCAACCCCGTTCCCTCCTTCCCGGCGTCTTTCCTTCGTTCCTTTTCGCACTTAGGTTCACGTTAAAAAATATCCCGTTTTGGCGACAGTCGCGAAGAAAAATAATTTGCGGTTACTCTACAATTATGCTTTATCCGAAATTTCTAACGCATGGCTATTAATTTAGGCATATTCAGTGACTCATTGTGGTGTGATTGTGTTGCTTTAAATGCGGACCTATATATATATATATACGCGCGGACGCACTCAAGCACTCATGCACACATGAACGCACCTACGCCCGCACGTACGCACGCACGCACGCACGCACGCACGCACGCACGCTCGCACGCACGCACACACTCACTCACTCACGCTCGTATGCACACACACACACACACACACACACACACACACACACACACACACACACACACACACACACACACACTAAAACACTAACTATAACCTCAACCCTACCCCA